TTGATGTAAATTCAGATTAGAGTCTTATAACTTTAGGAAGTTAAATGTAATCCCCATGGTGACCAAAAAGAAAATAGTTGTAGAATATACACAAAAGGAAATGAGAAGGGAATTAAAATGTTTCACTACAAAAAATCAACTAAATACAAAAGAGACAGTAATGTAGGAAACAAAAGACAAAAAAGCTATATGACATATAGAAAACAAATAGCAAAATGATAGAAGTTCTTCCTTATCAGTAATTACCCTAAATGTAAATGGATTAAACTCTCCAAAAGACAGAGAATGGCAGAATGGATTAGGAACAAAAACAAAAACAGAAAGCTTGTTCTAACTGTATGCTGTTTATAGGAGACTCACTTTAGATGCAAAGACACCAATCGGTTTAAAGTGAAAGGATGGAAAAAGATATTCCATGCAAGTAGTAACCAAAAGAGAGCAGGGGTAGCTATACTAATTTTACACAAAATAGACTTTAAATTAGAAAGGTTATAAGAGACAAGGACATCATTTATTAATAAAAGATTCAATATAGCAAGAAGATGTATTAATTATAAACATTTACATACTTAATAAAAGAGCATAAAAATATATGAAACCAAATTGACAGAATCGAAGGAAGAAATAGCTTCTACAATAATAGTTGGAGACTTCAATATCCTACTCTCAATAATGGAACAACCGGACAGAAGATAAGTAAAGACGTAGAGGACTTCAACAATACAGTAAGCCAACTAAAGCTAACAGACACACACAACATTCTGCCCAACAACAACAGAAAACACATGCTTCTCAAGTGCACCTGGGACATTCTTCAGGATAGACCATACGTTAGGTCACAAATTATGTCTCAGTAGATTTAAAAAGGTGGCTATCATACAAAATGTCTTCTCTGACCGCAGTGTGATGAAGTTAGAAATCAATAATACAAGGAAAACTGGAAAATTCACAAATCGGTGGAAATTAAATAGCACACTCTTAGTCAACGGATGAATCAAAGAAGAAATCACGAGGGAAATTAGACAATACTTAGAGATGGATGAAAACAAAAGCACAACATACTAAAACCTATGGGATGCAGTGAAAGCAGTGCTAATGGGGAAATTTATAGCTATAAATGCTTATATTTAAAAAAAAAAGTTACCAAATCAACAACCTAACTTTACAACTTAAGGAACTAGAAAAAGAAGAAGAAACTAAACCCACAGGTAGTAGAACGAACGTAATAAAATATTCAAGCAGAGATAAAAAACAGAATAGAAAAAACAATAGAGAAAATCAGTGAAACCAAAAATTGGTTCTTTGATCAGAAAAATTGACAAATGTTTAGCTAAATGGACTAAGAAAAAAGAAAACCAAATTACTAAAATCAGAAATGAAAGTGAGGACATTACTACCAATTCTATAGAAATGTAAAGAATTACAAGAGTATTATAAACAGTTGTTATGTCAACGAATTGGATAACATAAATGAAATGGACAAATACCTAGAAACACAAAACCAGCTAAGACTGAATCATGAAGATGTTACAGGAAATCTGAATAGACCTGTAACTAGTAAGAAGATTGAATCAGTAATAAAAAATCTCCCGACAAAGAAAAGCCCTGGACCTGATGATTTCAATGGTGAATTCTATCAAACATTTAAAGAATAACTAACACCAGTCTTTCACAAACTTTTCCAAAATATTGAAGAGGAGAGAACACTTCCTTACTCATTCTATGAGGCCAGTGTTACCTTGATATCACAGCCAGGCAAAGACACTATAAGAAAAGAAAACTGCAGACCAATATCCTTTATGAACATTGATGCAGAAATCATAGAGACAGAAAGTAGAATGATGGTTTCCAGGGGCTGAGGATAGGGAGAATGGGGAGTTACTGTGTAACGTGTATAGAGTTTTAGTTTTGCAAGATGAAAAGAGTTCTGGAGATGGATGGTGGTGATGGGTGCACAACAGTATGAATGTGCTTAATACCACTAAACTGTACACTTAAAAATTGGTTAAGATGATAAGTTTCATGTTATTTATATTTTACCACGAAAAAAAATCATTAAAAAAGCAAGATTGTTATTAAGGCATATTAAGGATTCAATTCAGCACCCATTTTGGTTCTTATTAGTTAGTAGGCACTGTGGTATATCCTGGGAATAAAGATGATTAAGTCACAGTTGTAGATGCCAAGAAGCTCACAGTCAAATAAAAATGACAGACTTGGAAACAAATAATTATATTGTAGTGTGATAAGTGAGATAATAGAAGGAGAGATAAATTAACTTTGTGAGAGTCAGGGGAAGTTTCTGTCAACTTAAAAAAAAAAGAGGCAACTGCAGAACAAAAGGAGAGCATTTATTTGGGGTCTTAGAATTGCAATTTGGGGAACACAGATTCCCTGAGCAGCCAGACAGGTGTCCTCCTGAGGAGTAAAAGTCAGGAGTTTCTATTAGCAAAACGGAGAGCCCAGACCAATTACCTCAGTTGTTTGTCAGGGAGGGTAGATTTATATTACAGTTCATTGGCTTACTCAAGGACATCTTGTTGCAACCAGAAAAAGTATATTTTTGCACAGTCCTTCAGAAAGTCCCTTCTCAGCAAATAATTCCCTTTTGGCAAGTGAGCAAGTTCAGCACAATTTCATATTTGTAACAAGATGGAGTCCAAGGTACAAAATGGAGTCACTGTTGCCACCTTGATTCACATTTCATAGGAGAGGAGTTGCGTGAGCTGAGTTTTAAAGGCTATCTATTCTCAAGCCAACAAGGTGATAAATGAGAGCATTGAAATCTGGAGAGCAGCATATGAACATATGGGGTCAAATAAGTTGATAAGTGTTTTTTATGTGAAGCAACTATGGCAACAGATGAGTCTGGGATGGTCCACAGAAGTAGGCTTTAAACGAGGTTTGTTCTATATACTAGAGTTACATTAAAGAGTTTTAAACGTAAATTTTGTGTTTTACAGAGAGAATTCTGTCTTATGTGTGAAAAATAGATTGGGATAAGAATAAAGTGGAGGCAGGGTGAGCTATGGCAATAGGTCAGGTGAGAGAAAATGAAGGCCTGAATTAATCAGTGGTAGAACTGGTGAAGAGAACAGATACGAGCATAAATTGAGCAGCAAAAGCCATAGAATTTGGTGCTTGCGTATAGGGGCTCAGGGAAAGGAAGTAGGTGAGCATGACCTACTCACCATGTTTTGTTGGTGGTTGTGTTGACTATATGGTCTTTGGTTCTATCAGCTAAGATAGAGAAGACTGGAACAAGAGCAGTTTTGGAAAGAGAAGGAGACAAGAGGGTAGAAAGAACCAAGATCAGTTTTAGATTTAATTTGAGGTCCCTCCACAAATCCTTTTTGGTAACCTTTTGGAGGCCAGCTATAATGTCCCTCAGCATCTCATTTGGTGCCAGTATCAGACAGAATAATGAGCTGTATGTTTTAGGTTTATTTGGAATACTTAAGATGAATCCAAAAGAAGACCCTGTTTAAGGTCTTTGTGCAACTGAGGTTTCCTCATTTAGAAGAAACCTGGAAATAAATTTAACTGTTGTTTTTTAGTGCATCTGTATTTTTGAAAATCTTTTTTTTTTTTTTAACATAAATAAATTGTTGACAGAACCTGCATAAAAGTGTTTCAGTAGCAGTTTTCTAACAACCATAAGTGTATGGTACACTTCATACATTGTTCCTCTTTGCATTCAGTGAGTGTGAGTGGTTCCTTTCTTAACGGAAGGAGTAACACTAGTTAAGCTTAAAAATTGTAACAGAAAGTAAATCCAGATTGGAGGTTAGGAAGATCTTTTTAAATATAAGATTCTGAAATATTGAAGTGCCTTACTAGAGAGGTTAAGATACACACGCGCGCACACACACGAACATAAATTTTTTGTGTGTGTGTGAAAAGCTTGTTTTTCTGGGATGTTTAATATAATGCTGCTCAGAGACACAAGAGTTGAATCTTGTCTTTCATGTGATAGTTTGCCAGTTTCTTTATACTCAAGGTTGATAGGAACAAAAACTCCTAGCCTGGTTTAGCTGAAATATTCATAAGGTGGAAGTACTCCTGAGTCGTGGTTTTCCTACCTTTTCAAGAATGGTTGTCAAATCTTTGTGGACTCCTGTATGAATGACTTTACTTTTAATATCCGTTTGAGAAGATATGCCAAGACCAAAAACTATTTTGAAATCAGCAACTGTTTTTTTTAATGTATTTAAACACATTAAATGTATTTAATCACAACAGTGTTTATCTCTTATCCTTGAAAAGTAGTTAAATAATTCTGAGTACCATATGAATTTTCAAACCCCTTGCAAAAACCACTGCTCTGGAGAAAGTCTTAGAGCAGGCTTACTTTTGAAATGGAGTATGGAATAATATAAAATAAAAAAGGGTATATAATATAAAAAGTCTTTATAAAATTTTTTAAATGGAAAGTTTATATAGTTGTATCATAATTTAACACTTTCCTAATGTTAACTTATCGTCATGGCTGATAAATTAGGAGTAATGAAGAATTGAACTACTTCTGATAAAACTCTTTGTCCAGGGGCCGGCCCCGTGGCTTAGCGGTTAGGTGCGTCTGCTCCGCTACTGGCGACCCAGGTTCGGATCCCGGGCGTGCACTGATGCACTGCGTCTCCGGCCATGCTGAGGCCACGTCCCACATGCAGCAACTATAAGGATGTGCAACTGTGACGTGCACCTGTCTGCTGGGGCTTTGGGGGAAAAAAAAAGAGGAGGAGGATTGACATGGATGTTGGCTCAGGGTTGATCTTCCTCAAAAACAAAAAACTCTTTGTCCAATATATGTGTGACATGATATATTGATCCAGGTTCATCATTCATCTTTGGAGTTAATCGCTATTCAAGTGAATTTCTAATTATTTTGTTGGCTCCATTCTGTTTCCCTTTCTCACATTAATCTGGTTCTTGGTGAATTATAGCTTCAGGTTTTTCTTTCTTAAGTATTCATTAATTCAGATTGAAATACTGATGTTTAGGATAAAGATGGAGATAGAGCTGTTCATCACGCAGCTTTTGGAGACGAAGGTGCTGTTATAGAAGTACTACACCGAGGCAGCGCTGATTTGAATGCTCGCAACAAGCGCCGACAGACACCACTTCATATTGCTGTCAATAAAGGTCATCTTCAAGTTGTGAAGACGTTATTGGACTTTGGCTGTCATCCCAGTCTTCAGGTAAAACTTTTAAAGAAATAGATTCTGCAGGTATTGCTAGAATCCTATTAGAGGGAAGTACTAGGTTCTATGGTAAGCATTCTGTTGTTATCAGTTCTTGCTTGTACAGTCATAGTAAATGATACCAAAGGTGTAGAATATAATAAAATTGGCAGCTATTCCTTCTTAGAAAAGCCTTTTTAAAGAAAATGTCAGAATAGTTTTATATTGGAGGTGGGGACGGGGACTTGAAGTATGATTGGCTGCATTTCATAATAGTTACTTCATAACTATCTAAATTATTATTATTATTATTTTTTTTGTGAGGAAGATCGGCCCTGAGCTAACATCTGCCAATCCTCCTCTTTTTTTGCTGAGGAAGACTGGCCCTGGGCTAACATCCATGCCCACCTTCCTCCACTTTATATGGGACGTCGCCACAGCATGGC